AATGTGCCAGTAGTGGGATACACCTGATCCTGTGGTGAGAATATTTGGATATGCAGGTTCATTTTCCATGTGTGAATTCTGTTATTTCTTTACTTCCCATGTATTTTGCTCGGAAAGGTTTATTATCTAAACCTTCACATGTGACATAGCTGCAAACATATAACTACTTCTTGAACTATTTTGCTGATCTTGTCCAGTTGTGTTTCATGTCTGTCCATCTGTGTCTGCTTATTATGTTGTGTTATAGTGTCTTGATCTAATCATCCCTTTGGGCATTGTGGGTGGTTCTGTTGAGCCCCAAGTTGATTTCCTCTTCCATTACATCCTATATACATGGCTTATTATTGGATTTCTTGATTGTTTTTATTGATAACTGAAACTCCAGGATCTATCACTACTTTCTTTCAGAAATAATAATATGAAAGGTGTGGCTTCAGTTGAGGTGTTTCTGACTTTCGATATCTTCTTGTCCCTATACTTCCCAAAAAACAAAAAAGGAATAAGCAGAGAGATGTCTCACCCTTATTTTATTTTATTTTATGCATAACCATTACTATTATTTTTTTATTTTTTATTAACTGATTATGTAAATGTTGCGAGTAAAACACTTCTCCTTTTTGGGAGAATTATATAGGTCAACTTGTGTAAAGGATGTTTCTTGCTTGTGGTAGAAATTGTACGCTTTAATACCATTACATTAAGGTTACACAGGTTTCCCATTCATATGCTTGCGGTTTTTTGTCTTGTTTAATGAATTTTTTTAGGAACTTAACATAAATCAATCATTAATGAGACATAGTTTATGTGACCATGCTAATTATTTGCAGATAAATTCTTGTAATGGATTCTACTGTGACGAAAAGACACAAAAGGTACATATAATTTCCTTTTTACCTGAGACATGTTGGTTACTTGGTTACATGATGATGTTATGATTGAATTGCTAGGATCTGAATTTTGATTATGCTAGAATTATATGTCCAGTTGTGGTTATGATTTTTATCTTGAAATAATCATCATAACTCCTCAAAATACACCAAAATGTAAAAAAGTTCATGATGAGACAAAGGCCAAAGAGTAATAAATTGGTTGCTGATTTCCCAAATGATCAAAGAAATGTTTGCTTATTTTACAAATAAGTAACTAATTATTTGCTCATTTGACAAATGAGCAAACTAATGTTTGCTCATTTCACAAATGAGCAAACTAATGTTTGCTCATTTCACAAATGAGCAAAGAAATGTTTGCTCATTTCACAAATGAGCAAAGAAATGCTTTTTGATTTAATAAATGATTAAAGAAATGTTTGCTCATTTGACAAATGAGCAACTAATTACTTGCTCATTAGACAAATGAACAACTAAGTTTTTGCTCATTTGTTAAATTAACAAATAAGTATTTGCTCATTTGACAAATGAGCAACTAACTATTTGCTCATTTACTAAATGAGCAAATTAAAAAATTGATTGCCCATTTCCCAAATTAAATGATCATGGTTGCTCATTTCACAAATGAGCAAGGAAATTAATTGCTTATTTGGACAAATGAGCAACTAAGCTTTCGCTCATTTGTTAAATTAGCAACTATGTATTTGCTCATTTGTCAAATGATCAGATATTTTTGGCTCATTTTGTCAAAAATTAATATTTATTCTTTACTAATTTGTAAAAAATGAGCAAATAATTTGTCAAAATGAGCAATTAATTTTTTGCTCATTTGTCAAATGAGCAAACTATTAATGATCATTTGTCAAATGAGCAAATGATTCTTGCTCATTTTGTCAAATTAATGCTCATTTGTGAGTGTGTTTGAATGTTTTAAATACGTTAGCCTGCTAGCTCAAGGGTAGAGCATTGTACAAATGCACAAAATATGTGGGTTCGAATCTCACGTAGGTTCATTTATGTAATGTGGAGACACAAGTTTGTATGAGAGTTTAATTGTAACAAAGTTTATATAATTATAAATCATTTCAAACCATTTTTTTCTCATATAATTTAGTACGAATTTGATTTTTTTTTATAATTAATTTTGTTTATAGAGATCAGATAACCTATGTAGGAATTGAACATACATCCCCTATGCATTTGCATAGTGCTCTACCATTTGAGCTAATAGGTTTATCATATGTTTTAAATCATTTTCTATGTAACTTGTCACCAACATATACATAATTACAGCGTTAGGAAAAACAGAGATGAATATATAGCAAATATCTTTTGGGGGACACACACAGGTTTTCCAAAACACAGTATGTAAGAAATATCAAATTCAAGTTACTAACAAAAGAGGTAATAGACAGACAAAGAGAATATTGAAGGATCTTATTTTGCCATTGTATTCTAGACAAACTTACTTAATAGTTTCCTGAAGTGCACTTGGAAGTCTAGGCTCTTCCTTATATGCAGGAATTATCAAAGATATATACTTCTCAGCGGGATCAAATATAGAAGAGGAAATGTATTATAACTTGGTTAAGTTGAAAAGGTAGCAAATCTCAAAAACATACAATTTAGCATTGTCAGAAAAGAAGTGATTCCAAATGTGTTTCCAACAGTTCTTTAACATACATTTAAACATGCCAACTTGTAGCCAATAACTCAAAGAGTTCCTCTTTGCACATAAAGCATGACTTATAAGTGCAAGTTTAGAAACAGAAAGTTTGATGCGCCTAAGAATATATGAGTAACATTTTCCAATTAGAGTTTTGCTCAATAACAAGTCAATAACACAGTAAAATATAAAACATAATAAGAGAAGAAGGGGAGCAGTAGAAGGGTGGCAGCAGTTAGGGAGCAGTAGCAGGGGGGCAAAATAAGGGATTGAATAGCAGAAGGTGGATTATGTTCTACACTACAAAGTATGACATGTAAGAACTCCCAATTTTACTACTAATCATAAAAAAACACTATATTTGTGCAACAAAAAGTGAACAAATAATCAACTTTGCTGCTTATAATAGAACATGTATGATATATTGGCTGAATATGATATATTTGATTTTTGCCATTTCTCACCATTTTCCTTACACCATACCATTACCACCACCACCACCACCACCACCACCAAACTCTCTCTCCTTCCTCTGCCCCTGCACCCTACCACCACCACTAGCATCACCACAACCTGTCTCACTCTCACTCCCCTGCCACCGCCGCTGTCCCCTGCACCCTACCATCACTAGCTTATTTTCCTCATTTGCTCATTTTTATATTTGCTCATTTTTTTTTGTATTTGCTCATTTTAATTATGTTTGATCATTACATTTTTTCTATATTATTTCACATATTTAGGAAATGAGCAAATAATTAAATGCTCATTTATCAAATGAGCAAATAACTCAGTGCTCATTTGTGAAATGAGCAAATAAGTATTTAGGAAGCACAACCCCAACAAAACAAACTATCCTAGCAACAACAACAAGATAAAATAATGATACTCAAATTTAAAATAAAAACACAACAATATGGTCAAGAAGTCATAACTTAAAGAAACTGTACATGTACAATTTCACCATAGACCAAATCATTAAAAGCTTACCATATAGTACCAAGTCACAAGATTTCTAACAAGCATTTTATCAAACACCTTGTATGCAATATCAGGATATTCATAAGTATCATTAAAATGCACCAATAACCCATTTTAAACCAAGTTTTAATTGCAACACAATTACAGAATTCATAACAAAAATTAATCAACTCAAAAATTAACAAAATTTTTACAAATTAAGAATATTCAATAGAAAATTTCACGAAAATTAGCTTTAATTAACGTAAAAGTAACATTTTTACGTTAATTATCAGCCCCATCTCCACCATTTCCAGCAGCCCCAGCGACCTACAACTCCCCAAAATCACCCAGCCTTTGCGGCACCACCTCCAACCACCATCCACAACGCGTCTAACAGCCACAAATCGCACCAATTTCGATTCAATTATCAAATTTTGAGGGGTTTTGTGCTTCATCTTTGTCATCATCATCGTCATCTTCGTCAGAGTTGTTGTTGGTTGATATACTTTAGCTCTGTATTAACCTATCTCGCCGCACGAAATATTTGGTGTGGACTGCCGCACCCAATAGTTTGTGTTATAAATAAAAAATGAAGCAAATAAAATTAAAAAGCTTAAATGTTTATAATCACACGATAGTAAATTAAAACTCCATTGTTTCACAAGGTGAACTATTAATTACTGAAGTTATAATTACAATATAAAAAAAATAAAATTAATATCATTGCTCCCCGATTCAGTGAGTTACTCTAATCTGAAGCCCAACCAATCAATATATATATACTCGGTACAAGGTGCACTCAATATTATTTCACTCATTTGACGATTAAATATGAACACAACAATCATCAAATTGAGAAAAATTATCTTTGGGGACACGTCGTACTCGGTAGTTTTTTGATTTTACCACCTTTTTTTTGTTTTTGTTTATTTTAAATAACTACCCATTAAATTTACGGCGAAAGAAGGGGAATTAAATTTTGGCATACCAAAATTTTATTGGATCATTAATTCTTAAATATTTGGGAAAAATCAATTACCACTATAAATTTCAGTTTTCTGTCAAAAAAAGAAAAAGAAAAAGAAAAGAAACTATAAATTTCAGTTTGCTACTTCTATAAGGTCGTACTTGACGTTCTAGTGACAGCAACGTACACTCCATTTGATGAACTTAATGGATATACCTATAATTTAATATCAACATTCATAATCTCACAAAAATATCCTAAAATGCTGCTACGTAGTCCGTGGTAGCGTATCCGAATACCGGGTCAAATCATCTAACAAAATCACATGTCATTTAACAACTAATAAGACCAACTATCAACTAATTATTAAATAAAATTTACATCAACTAGTAGTCTTAATCCTTCAATAATTGATTTTTTTTAACAAACTTAAACGTTTTGTAATGACGTACGTTGCATGGGTTTCCTTTTCATAATAACGTGTATAAGTATTATAGAAACGAACATGCAATCCAAGACCACTTATCTCATCTTCAATATCTCAAACTCTTAAGACTAGCCCTTCGTGCAATCAACTCCCGAAATGTTGAAAATTATAGTTTTTATTATTTTTATGGTTCGCGCGGTTTTGGTCAAGGGCGAACCAAAAGTGCCATGTTTCTTCATTTTCGGGGACTCACTGTCCGAGGTTGGAAACAACAATAACCTCGTGACAATGGCCAAAGCAAACTACCCGCCGTATGGGGTTGATTTTCCTGGCGGTGTACCAACTGGCAGGTTTACAAATAACCGGACTATTGAGGATTATATATGTAAGTATAACTCATTTGATCAATTATCGGAAGGTTTACCTCAATGATATGTTGTCCGTCGTTTGAACAATTTGCTACTAATTTTATAGGGATGAACATAAATAACATACAAGTATATTAAAGGATTTATAGCTCAAATTTCTAATCATTAGCTTGTAATTCTTTTGACATAATATATTTAATTTTTCTCACAATAATTAAAACAATATTTTCTCTAAGCTTTGGCATGTTTTGTTATACCCATCATAAAGGTTCATACATTTATTATAGTAGTATTGAGCTATAGTTTGCAAGATTGTAAATTAAAGAATACACAAAATACATTGGATGAATTGTATGTGTTATGTGTACTCTTTAATGACGTGGATATAAGAGTGGGAAACTTCTCCCATATGGAAAGAAAATGATGGCTTTGATAAGTGTCTATTAAGATGTGTGTGTTAAATGTAACTAAAATATTTTGGGCCTATAACATATGGGCTTGGTCATGGCTATGGGAACTAATGTGTTAATCTATATCATGGGGCTAAATTGGACGTTTTTCCAAAGTGAGCCAATTTTGGCAAATATTAACCAAAATGGTTGCGTGGCAAAAGTATTTACCAAACTAAGCTTCCAGGCTAAAACGCTGTCTCGGTCAGCGTTTTATGCCTGGGTTTTTTTTTTAAAAAAAATCAACCTAAAAACGCTGTCTGGGACAGCGTCTTTGTTGTTGACCTTTTTTTTTTTTTAAATTTTTGTAATTGCCTTTTATTTATAAAAATGTTTTTAAAAAACAAAAACAGTTATACCAAAGACGCTGTCCCAAACATCGCTTTATGTACAAACTTCCTTGTACCTAAAACGCTGTCTCAGACAGCGTTTAAGGTTATTAATGAAACGCTGTATGGGATAGCGTTTCTCTGCTGGTGTGCAAAACAGCAGCATAATCAGCCTTTTGCCACTGATCTGCCACTTTCTTCTGCCCCCACCCACCACCCCCTGCCATGATTCTTGCCACCACAATCCACCAACAACCCCCACCATCGACCACCATCTGCCACCACTTTTGACCTCCAACAACACTTCAACCAGCTCTACCACCAACCCCAACCATTCAACAACCGTCGATAACCACCCACCACAACCAACAACACTAAAACCACCATGAACAACCACATTAACCACCACGGGCCATCCTTTCTTCCCCATTTTCGACTACGGATTCCAAATGTCTGTTGTTTAATGTACATTAGCCCTGAAGGATGTATTTTGACTGACATAAATCCGATTTGGATAAATAAGCAAACAAAACTTCAAAACACAAACAGATTCATTCAACTAGCATGTCTTATATTGATAATGCAATCGTTATATACAACATTCCAGGAAAAAGGACAAAACAATGATACAATACGTTCACTACTCATCAATTTGGTGTAACCCTTCCCTAGCCTCACTGTCGTCCCTTCGTCTTGGACGACGCCGAGTGTAATGGTGAATGGGTTCCGGCGCGGGGGGGGGGGGGGAGTGAGCTGGCTGGACGATGCGTCCTCCTGGGTTCTGAAGGGTGCAGAACTGTGGAAGATGTACTCCTCTGCCTCTGTGTGCGACGTAGGATCACCTCCACTGCTACTCTGACCGGGGTCGAACCGCGAATGGATGGAGTGACCATCATCACCGTCCCGCTGTTGGATGATATGACCGTGACCATGTCTGCGTAAGGAAGTCGCGGACATATCTCGCATCCGCTGGACCTGGGCTCTGGTGGGTCCGTCTGTAAGGGCGAGGGATAGTGCATCATACATCGCCACCATATCCGCCGCCTGTAGTAATCATCGATCAGTCAAGTACATGATATTTAAAAAAGTTAAAAAATGAGAATGATAAGTATAGTAAAAGAAACTCACATATCCGCTAATGACGTCATGTGCCGGGTGGTAATGGTTGGACGGTGGTGTGTAGCTGGGGTTGATGAAACGGCGTGTGATAAGCCCGTACCACACCATGTACGGATCGTCATGATCCATAACGCCCTACATGGGATAACCCTGAACGACATGACCCAACCGCTGCTCCCATAGCTGAAGATACTGCCAATGCTCCAGTGCCCAGTTTGTCTCCGTCTTTCCCCGACGGTCAATGTCGTGAAGGCGCACGACAGTGTCACAGTTCTGGGGAATAGGCTGCTGCAGTCTGAACTGTCGCATGACGCGGTCAGGTAGGTGACTCTCCACAACCTTGAAACAGATCAGGGGGACCCGGGCACGCCACTCTCCCTGATGCTCCAGTAGATGTGCAGGCATGACATCTACCAACTCCGGTACATACGGATCCCATGTGATCTGCAATAACACATCCTAAATAAGTTAGTCCACAATCAGTATACACAGTACCTAAATGATTACAAATGTCTTCAGAGTTTGTACCTGATCCTCAGTGAGTCGATCAAGGGCGTCTCGGTAGTATGGGAGACTCGTCGCCGCATGTGCCTGTGTGAGTCTGGGGACCATCCACCTGGGGCAACAAATTTGGTAAGTATGTTTACAAAATGAAATCGTATATGGGGAAAAAAATGACAATTGTTACAAACCTGCAACCGTAAGCCTCATCAGCTGCAGGGCGAGGCGGAGCGATGTACGGCTCATACTGGTCATCCTGGTCCTGCTGCCCCGGACGATGTACAGCAGGCCTACCTGGTCTTCCTACGTGGATGTGCTCCCAAGCCCATAGCTTCAATAGCAAAACACAAAACTATGTTAAATATGACATTACTCATTGCATAATTCGCTTGTGATAATATACGTAGTATACCTGAAGCACAAACAGAGGTCCTCCAATCTCGAGCGCACCACTCCGTGAGGCTCTGCAAAGTTGACGATACAACACCGCCAAAGAGGCACTACCCCAGCTGTATCCACGGATATGCTCCCAGTCGTGGTCTAACAACTGTAGGTAAATAAGCTGCAAGTGGCTCCCGCTCTTGTTGCCCAACAACACGCCAGATATGAGGAAGAACAAGTACGTTCGAGCGTATCTCTGTACTATGGCGTCATCGGCGTCCGCAGGCAAGCCCTGGAAAGTATCTCGTAACCAGACCGTCCTCAAGGCGGAGCCCCTAACATCGTTGGGACCCGACTGCACCCCGAGAACCCGCACAACCAATCCAACGGGGTCGACTAGAAATGATCCCGTCACCGCAATCCCCTGTACTGGAAGGCGCGTCAGTATTGCCACGTCCCGCAATGTCACATTCGCCTCCCCAACTGGTAGGTGGAAGGAGTGCGTCTCCTTCCTCCATCTCTCCACTAACGCCGTGACAAGGTGTCGGTCGATCTCCCTGAATCCCAAGCGATGTACACCGCCAAAGCCAGCGTACGTCACGTACTCAAGGCAGCGATCATGGACAACCCAGGGGGTCCTGTAGTGCCTGCACTGTAGTGGCTTCGCTACGCCACCCTAAAAACACAAGAGCATTTATAAGTAACAAAAGATAGTACATCAAAGAATCCAAAAACGTTAAAGATGAATCATTACCGTCAGGTTCCATACGTCGACGCTCTGATGGGTGTCCTGTAGTGTCAGGACAGAAGGGTCAACAGGTCCAGGTGTCCTATCTTGTACGTCCATGATATCTGTTCATTGAAAACGTTACACACCAAACACTAACACAATATATTGAATACTAATTTCGATTGAAAGGCATAAACAGGAAATCTCGAACATCTAACGTACAAAATAAAATTCATCGAATTGAACACAATAACACATAATGTAGAAAATTATAACTGTTTCATCAAAATAACACCACTACATACTACTATATCAAATAACACATATACACTTAGGTCTTATGTTGGTCTAGATGGACAAATAGTGCGGTTGTGACCTTGCTGGTGACAACGACTGCATTTGGTTGGGGGCCGGTTGCTGTCATCCATCTCATTGCGTATGCGCTTCGACTTTGGACGACCTTTTCCACGTATCATTGTGCCGTTCGGAATGAGTTTAGGGCCTACGTACTGTGCCCACTGTGCCCAGGTTGTCTCGCAGGGGATCGGCCAGAACTGTGGTGCATAGGTGTTCATGTAGGCGGCCGACTGCAACAGAGGGTCCACCCAAGGCCGTTCTGATAGTGAGTATGTAGCACAGACTGCTAGCACATGAGAGCATGGGAGGTGGAATATCTTCGGTTTGTTGCACGTACACGTTCTCAACTGCCAGTTCACTGTATGCTTGTGGCCTCCTTTATTTCCAACTCTCTCTCCCCTCTCTGTTGTCACTTGGTAAATATGCAATCGCCGGTTATAGGCATCCGCTCTATGATATCTGGCTTTAGCGGTGTTCTTCTCGAGGATGGCAGTGACCTTTGGGGGGTATGGAAGTCCCTGATCAGACCTAGCCTCAGAAGACTCCCTTCTCAAAGTGAAATACTTGTTAACTCTGTGGAAGGTTAACTCGACAAGGGACATAATCGGTAGAAATCGAGCTCCTTTCAGCACATTGTTGAATGTCTCCGAGAAGTTAGTAGTACATATACCATACCTGCGACCATTGTCGTGAAACAGAGACCACATAGGGAACGGGACTTGAGCAATGTACTCAATGGCCTTGGGACAAGCCTCACCAATGAAACACAGATCAGCTTGAAGTTTTCTTTCTTGCCTTTGGTACGCAGCGGCCTTGAACATGTCTCTCATGTCGTTACTTCGCACGTGAGTCTTCAAGTTAGAGGCTATGTGGCGGACAAAAAACCTGTGATACGCTCGGGGCTGGGTGAATCCAACATTGGGATCATTCATTGCTGCAATGATCCCAGGATGCCGATCAGAAATAACACAAAGGTCATCCCGTTGCGTGACACGATCTCGAATACAACCTAGGAACCAAGACCAGCTGGAAGTGTTTTCCCCTTCAACCACCGCAAATGCAATAGGAAATACTTGGAAGCTTGCATCAACACTCGTAGCAACCAACAGTGTTCCTTTATACTTCCCGTACAAGTGCGTCCCATCGATACAGATAACAGGCATACAATGTTTAAAGCCATCGATACAAGGACCGAAGGCCCAAAACACTCGTTCAAACACTTCCATGTTGCTGTAGTATACACCATCCACTAAAGCTTTGTGTTTCCATACGACACATGTTCCCGGGTTCGACCGTAGGAGTGCTTGCATGAAGTGGGGAAGTCTGCCATATGAACTCTCCCAATCCCCAAATATCTCAGCTATAGCTTTCTCCTTGGCATACCACGCTCGTCGATACGGGACATCGAAATGAAATTGCTTCGAGATCAGTTCCTGTGTGAATTCCACTTTCGGCGAAGGATCTTTCCGCACAAAGGACTTCACATACTCGGCTATTACGGACGAATCTAAGTGTGGGTGATCATTAGATAGTACTTCACTGACACATGTCTCCCGATGCGGGCCTTTGTACGTGACTATGGTAAAACCACGTGAGTGCTCACTCGATTTGGTACCCCGTAGCATCCAACCACATTTCTTCTTGCATCGCAGATGTAGGACACCATCATTCGAGGTCACTGTGGTGTAGAATTGATTCCTCTGAATAGAATACATCTTCACCATTTTTCTTGAAGCAGTTTCTTGCTCTCAAAATACATTCCCTTCTCAAATTCTCCCCCGGGAACAAAAGAGGTGTGGCTACCCAATTCGGCCCAATACTGATCAACTTCATAGTTCTCGGGTACCTCACTGAACCAAGGTATGGGAGTTCTAACCAACGGCTGACCATCTTCCACCTGTGTAGGTTCATCATCCCCCTCTCCGTTCTCGTCCTCATCATCCATTTCCGCATACACATCATACACCGACAATTCATTATTCACAACATCATCAAAATGATTTGGCTCTTCTCGAAACGGTGAACCATCATCACCTTGCATAGGAGAGTAGCTATGCAATTGCATCGGTGAAGATGCCACGGTGTTCGATGACGACGGAGCAGGCTGGCCGAACACTGTCACGCGTCCCCCCGCATGTACTGGTGAAGCTATATGAGAACTAAAAGGCAAGTGAAATTGGTCGTCTGGCATCATTCGAGTGAAAGAACCCATCCCATATGCATTCGATGAAATGTGGTTTGCGGGCTCTTGGAAGGACGCAGTGTTGTAATCAGAGACAAATGTAGCTTGCTGTTCTGCCCGAGTACTTTGTTGGGTACATATAGGCACTGTTTCTACATATATCTCATTGGGAAAACCCTTCATTCCTACCATGCTCCTCAAACCTTTCAAATGTCTGTTCGTAGAGACAGGTAACACTTGCACCCCATGACCAGTATCACACCTCATTTTAAGGTTCAGTTCAACAGTCATAGGGTTTGAACCAATACAACTGCGAACCTCATTCATCAGATCAGTCACAGTCATGTTCGGTTCAAGTGTTATAAGGTCCATATTCCCTCCACTGTACTCCACATTTGATCCATTACACAAAATTTCACCTCCCCATCGACATAACAACGCTACATTTTGTCCAGCCATATTCTACATAACAACCAAAACACATTTTACGTAAAGCCGTTAAATCATCCCTAAATCACCACAATCAAACAAAAATTTTTTACATACTATACAAATTAACTACTAAGAACCCCTAAATCACCATTATTACACAGCAATGTAGGTAATTACAATTGTTCAAAACCTAATAATTATCAACCATTGTCAACAATTTTCAACAAAACCAACAACAACAATTCAACATTATCCAAACTATTATCAACACTAACAATATCAACACTACCATTATCAACACTAACAATTCAACAATTACCAACACTAATAATTCAACAATACCAACACTAACAATTTAACATTTTTAACACTAACAACTCAACCTCATCAACATTTTAACCCAATTCCAAAAAAATTATAAATCACCAACATAAACCCTAGAATTTAAAACACAAAGAAAGTTGAATGAATACCTATTTCAGGGTGAGGGGAGTGTATAGTGGGCTACACGGAGGGCAACGGTGGAGGTGACGGCGGGCGACGGTGGAGGTGGCGGCGCCGGCGGCGGTCTATACGGAGGAGCACAAGTATGAGAGAGAGGGGGATTAAGTTAGAGTTTGGGAAAGAAGGGGTTTGAGAATGAAGGAGGAGGAAATGAAAGGATGAAATACGCTGTTGGAGGGAAAAAAAAAAAACGACAGAAACGCTGTCTCATACAGCGTTTCATTAATAACCTTAAACGCTGTCTGAGACAGCGTTTATAGTTCCAGAGTTAAACGCTGTCTGGGACAGCGTCTTTGGTATAACTGTTTTTGTTTTTTAAAAATATTTTTATAAATAAAAGGCAATTACAAAAAATTTTAAAAAAAAGGTCAACAACAAAGACGCTGTCCCAGACAGCGTTTTTAGGTTGATTTTTTTTAAAAAAAAACCCAGGCATAAAACGCTGACCGAGACAGCGTTTTAGCCTGGAAGCTTAGTTTGGTAAATACTTTTGCCACGCAACCATTTTGGTTAATATTTGCCAAAATTGGCTCACTTTGGAAAAAGTTCCGGCTAAATTAGCATAGTCTCGTCCGATGTTTAGTGTATAATCTTTCCTTTTTATTTAGTTTTGCTATTAATTTGCTTATGATGGTTTCTCTGTGTGGCTGATCACACCATGTGGCCGGGTTTAATTATTTAGGAGTTACATATTTAAGGGTTACTAAGTTGATTAAGGGCTACTTATCTTGGGATTACTCAGTCGGTCAGTAGGTTTTTGCTGGGGTTAGCTTATTCAGAGGTTACTTATTTAAGGGTTATTCAGTCGGTCAAGGGTTACTTATTCTAGGGTTACTCAATCAATTAGCGTGTTTTCTCTACGAGAGTAGCCCCTGACCAACTGAGTCACTTCAGATCAAATAACCCCTGACCGAGTCACCCCTGAATAAGTAACTCCGGTCATACGATGTGGCCAACCGCATATATTAATTTGTTATTTTCTTAACAATATATTCATATATGTTGATTTTATAGCTACATATCTGGGATTCAACAAGTCTATAGCACCATATAGAGACCAAATGGGTCAAGATATATTGAGAGGTGTCAATTTCGCATCTGGTTCTGCTGGAATTCTCATGGAAACTGGATCACAATTGGTATGATCTTGATTTCTACTTGTATACTAATTACATTTTTTTTCTAAATTGACAAGCCATGATATCGTACTAATAACTTGCTTCTCAATAAAAAAGTATCGTACTAATAACAAACCACAAACTCTCAAGTATATATGACAAGCTACTGAGCTAGTTACTTTTTATTTATTTATTTATTTGACAAGGAAAAAGCGATTTCATTAATATTGTATAACCAAACGACATTTACATATAATTCATAAGAAATCAAGAATTTAACACAAGTGCACACCTTAAAACTAAATACATCGTAGATTTGTTTAACAATCGCCTTAATGAAAAACTTCATCTGAAACAATACAATCAGTCAGTTCGCACTGATTCGGCTTGAAATTCACTGATGCGTAGTCGTTTGAGTGAAAATACTTATGTGGTCCTCTAGATTCTTTTACAAATTATGAAACCCTAGATCTTCAATTTTTGCCATACAAACATAAAAAGAAAATAAACTCAAGAGAAAAATCATCATCTCAAGGATGAGATTTTTTTATTGAAAGCAATTAAAAGGTTTTTGGGGGCTAAGAATACCAGTGAAAGCCCTTACAAAGATTCACAACTGAGACCGAGAGAAAAGAGATGGTAGAGATGGAGAGAAAATGGAGAAGCGAGAATTCAAAAAAATTGGAAAACCCTTCCAAGGGAGAAACTCTAAAGGAAACAAAAAAACCCTCCTAAAGAGAAAACCCAGTGGGAACAAGTTAATTTTTTAAGAAGTCTACACAAGCTAGGTTATAGTTTATCTATACTTGTATATTCATTTGTATTGATCATAAATTTTATTACAGGGTGATCGGATATGGTTGGATCGACAAATACGAAATTATATGATGACCATCTTAAGGATCCAATTTATGGTTTTCGGTCCAGTTTCAAACTACTTGAACAAGTGCTTGTACACTGTGAATATTGGCAGCAATGACTACCTTAATAATTACTTCATGCCGCAATATTATCCTTCTCAGAGGCTCTACACCCCTGATCAGTATGCTAATCTACTAATTTCTCGATATAGATCACAATTACGGGTATTTCTTTGTTGCTTCACACCTTCGATCCCTCCATAATCTATTTATTTTACGAAGATGATGTTGACTAACATCGATTACACATTAATTTTGGTATTACTTTTGTTGTGTTAGACGCTATACAATACTGGTGCTAGAATGGTAGCAATTTTCGGTTTGGGTAATCTTGGTTGCGTTCCGTCTCAAATTATGAGGAACAATGCAACTGACTGTGTAGATGAAATCAACCAAGCCGCGAATTTGTTCAATACAAAGCTTGAATCGCTTGTGGATGAATTGAATGCAAGGCTTCCAGGGGCTCAATTTACACTAATTAGTCTCTCCGCTCTACAAGCATTAAGCCCCCTTCCTGAAGGTACGTCGTTTAACAATTTAACATGTGTATTAAGCTAGTTGTCACGTTATTAGTTCAAACTACACTAGAAAAATGTAACTTCTATATATCTGATGTACAAAATCATATTGCTTAATAATGCAGCTATTAATTCAAACTCGACTTGTTGCACATTGAGGAGTGATTTCCAGTGTGAGCCTAATAGTACACCATGCGCCAATCGAGACTTGTATGCATTCTTCGACGGATTTCATCCAACTGATGTTGTAAATGAAGCAGTAGCAGAAGCTGCATATAGTTCTCCAGATCGTCGGATCGCTAATCCGATGAACATCAATGAATTAACTAGCAGTCAGCAGGGCAAAGCGACGTACTATTAGTGACATCAATATTGTTGCTCCAAATATGCGGCTCCAATAGTCAACATTCATATTTATTTGCAATTATTCCCACTTCTTTATTTCCCCCCATTTCGTGTGATTTCGTGTTGCTAATAAAAGTGCCCAAAGATTGATCTTAAAATGGTTAACCTGAATTTCAATCTTCAATGTCTCCTGAATCTAATAATTTGTACTTCTGATGTTACAAATGAATTGGACCATTTAATAAAATTATCTTCAATAAGAAAGGTTAATATTTTATGAACTTTCGTTGTTAATGTTATTCATGTTTGTATATTTATCTCCGTACGACACGACTATACCTGGTACTCCCTCCATTTTTTGTTGAAGTCTTACATTTTGACCAATACATAAATTTAGATAATTTTAATTGACTTAAATATAATAATAAGTGTGGTAGATATAATATTAAAAAATTGTGGAAGAAATATGTGCTTCCTTTTTTAGAAAAGATAACAGGATTATTGATTTATTAAAAAAATGAGAATATAGTATTTAAATACTCGAACTACTAGCGAGTTATGTGTCTTCTCCTTAGTCCACACAAAATCAATTTGAGTTTATGCTCGATCACAAAACTAATTGTTAATGACGTTACTTACGTGAGTAGTTGACTAAGCTAGATTATAATGTCGTCACTACCTTTTTTTGATTCAATGTGGGACAATAGAAGCAACCCTATATGGATTATTATATAGTATATACTCTCTTCGTATTACCCGCCATATTTAAGTAAACGAAACGTTTTAACTTTTTACACTATTAACAAATTACTTTGATTAATTTTTGTGATTTATATAAGAATAAATATAGTATTGTGAGTACTTGTTGGAATCATCTCATTAAATAGTTTATTAATATTCTATTGTTATAATTTTTACTTATTGATAATTAAATATATTATTAGTCAAAGTTTTGTGTTGGCATACTTGCACAAGAGATTTATTTAACTTATTTAAATATAGAGGGGGTATATGTTTTCTTGAAGTCATGAACTATATTGTTGGCACTACAATTCCATCATGAGGTTTAAAAACCCATCTCTTGAGGCAAACAATATTTTTGGTCTTTTTGCACAATTTTTAAAAAGGACTTTTTGAAAGAAATAACTTAATAAATCCCAAATTTTGTGAGAGCCTAGCTAATAATTTTTTTTATTGTAAGAAACTACCTAAATAAAGGTAAAATGTTGTAAAATACTACCTATGGCCCCGAATTTCTCCGTTGATCAAACTTTCTGACGTTGACCATGTCTAAACACCCTTGAAACCACCGCGAGGGTTTGTTTTCATGGTGGTAAGGCTATTTTCGAGGTGGTTTAGGGAAATCCCAAGTTAGTGAGGTAGTTTCGAGCTACATGATGATAATTTCCGGGGGGGTGTTTAGGTGATTCATCGCCGGAAAATTAATTAGGTCAACGGTAGAAATCTGGTCATACATAGTATTTTAAAAAATTTTGGCCTTGTTTGGTAAATGGCTTTTGCTTAGCTCTTTTGTTGGCTTTTGGCTTTTCAACTTGGTCAAACAACCAAAAAAAGTGTTTGGTAAATGGCTTAATTGTTGGCTTAAAAGCAAGCTTTTCCGCCAAAAATAAAAAGCTAGTCTTATTAGCTTTTTGGTATTGGCTTTTGGCTTTTAACCATAAAAATTTAATTAATAATTAATTTTTAATAATTATAATTTGAAGTAATTAATAATTAATAATTTTTAATAATTAATTAATAATTAGAAATTAGTAATTGATAATTTGTAATAAATAATTAATAATTAGAAATTAGTAATCAACAATTAGAAATTAGTAATTAATAATTTGTAATAAATAATTAATAATTAGAAATTAGTAATCAATAGTTAAAAATTAGTAATTAATAATTAATAATTAGTAATTGATAATTAGTCATTTGTAATAATAATTAGAAATTAGTTATTAATAATTAATAATTAATAATTGATAATTAATAATAAATAATTAATAATTAATAATTAATAATTAATAATTAATATTTAATAATTAATAATTAATAATTAATAATTTGTTTTTTTGAAAATTAATAATTAATAATTAACTATTAATAACTAATAATAATCAATAAATAATTATTAAGTGTGTGTGTTTTTAGAGAGCCACAAAGGACGGGTAAGAATCGATCCCCTGATCTCCTAGAAGCGGGAAGAAAGCTCTAACCACTTGAGCTAACCTTCACTCTAAAAAACAGTTAATTAATGTTAATTACTAATAATCGTTTCTTAAAACAAAATTAAAATTAAAACTTATTTTTTGACCAATCCCATGGAGACCGCGTGTAAATTAAACTTAATAAAAAAAAATCTACTCAACCGGTTACATATAGCTTGGGACCATTTTGAGCATCTAGGCATGTATGGAAAGATTGATCATAGTTCAAGACCTTCATGGAAGTTGATGATGGAGAAATTCTCTATATGGGCAATCACTCTATCGCTAAGGTGCTAGGCAAGGGACAAATGGCTTGTTTTTAGGTCGGTCAAATATCTTATTTTATAATTAAGAGATGTGTTGTATGCTCCCGAACTTAGGAAAAATCTAGTATCCGATGCTATCTTGAATCAATTAGGTTTTAAAATGGTCTTTGAACCAGATAAGTTTATTTTGTCTAAAGGTGGTTGATCTGTAGGATTTGGATATTTGTGTGATGGTATGTTTAAATTAAGTATTTGTAATACTTTAACAGATAGTGTGTATGCTGTTAATGATAATTCTTCTCTGTGACATTTGAGACTTGGTCATGTTAATTACAAAAAATAGTATTTTATGTCTAAGCATAATTTGATTCCCATGTTTGATCCAAGGATAGAGAAGTGTAAGACATGCATGTTAACAAAAACCACAAGGAAGTCATTTCCTAACAATGAAGATAAGAATATCCTATTGCTTGATTTAGTGCATAGTGACTTATGTGATTTTCATAACACACCTTCTTTAGGGATTGAGAAATATTAAGTAACATTTATTGATGATTTATCCAAGGTTTTATGTTTATGTATTATTTTCTAAAGATGAAGCCCTAGACAAATTTAAAATCTACAAAAGTGAAGTAGAGCTGCAAACTAATGAGAAAATTAAAAGGTTAAGAATCGATAAAGGAGGTGAATACATAATCCAAGTTATTTCCAATCAATAGGTCTAGTACATGAAACAACCGTGACATATACACCACAACAAAATTGTGTAGCGGAAAGGAAGAATATGTCTTTAGAAGAAATGGTTAATTCCATGTTATCATATTTGGGTTTGAGTGATGAATTTTGGGGAGAAGCCTTTTAACGGCTTGTTATTTTTGAACCGTGTTTCTATGAAATGAAATGATGTTACCCCATATGAGCTATGGTATAAAAGGAAACAAAACTTGAGTCATATTAAAGTTTGGGATTGTAAAGCAGTAGCAAAAGTGCCGAAACCTAAATGTTACAATTTAGGTGAAAGAGGAGTGGAATGCATTTTTATATGATATGCGAAACATAGAAAATCCTATAGGTTTTATGTTATATAACAAAACGAATTTTGTTCAATTCACACCACCATTGAGTCTAGGGATGCATTGTTTGATGAAAATAGATTTTCATTAATTCCTACACCAAAGGATGTTCTCCAACTACCGATACTCAAACTTTAATCAAATTGTATTTGATCAAAATTAAAGAAGATGACCAAACTCATTTAGAGGAGGCATCTACATCATATCATCATCACAACCTAGGAGAAGTAAGAGGGAAAGGAATCCCGTCAAAAAAAAAGTAAGAGGGAAAGGAAAGAAAAATCCTTTGGTCCGAATTTTCATGTGTACTTGATTGAGGAATCAAGGAATTCTGTTTCGACACAATATCTATACATTTTTAATGTGGAATATGATCCTTTGACTTATAAGGCTATGAAGTCTCGAGATGCTCCATTTTGGAAGGAAGCAATTAATGATGAGATCGAATCCATCATGGAAAACAACATTTGGGTGTTAGCTAATTTACCTCCTAACTGTAAACTAATAGGGTGCAAGTGTATCTTCAAAAAGAAAATGAGGATTGATGGAATTGTTGAAAAGTTCAAAGTCCGGTATTAGTGCGTAAATAGCCTAGTATCGATTGTTTTGATACATATGCACCGGTTGCTAGAATCTCGACTATTAGGTTGTTGATAGCTATTGTAGCTATTAAGAATCTTGATCCATCAAATGGATGTCAAGGCAGCATTCTTAAATGGAGATTTAGAAGAAGAAGTTTACATGCGACAACTGGAAGGGTTTGTTTTTGAAGGCCAAGAGAAAAAAGTTTACAAGCTAATAATTAAATCACTGTATGGGCTAAAATAGGCACCTAAGCAATGGCATCAAAATTTTGATGAGGTTGTGTTGTCTAATGGTTTTTGCTTGAACAATTCAGACAAATGTGTACATAGCAAATTTCCGATGGATTTTTGGTCTGTCGGAACTGGTCCGTCGTAAATTGGCCTATTTCTAGTAGTGATTCAGTTTAATTTCCACCGATTCCTTTCTAACAATACATGCATCGAAACAAAAGGAATGCGGATGTTTTTATGATAGCCATCTGTTAAATGACTTTTAATATACTCATTTTCATTACCTAATTTTTTATTTATATTTTTTGTTAGTTAAACTTATTAAAAATATTTTTTAACTTTTTCAATAATTCATTTTTTTTTTCCGAAAATTAATTATGAAATATTTGTTTCGTAAATTCAGAAAATTAATTTTTGAAAAAAGAGTTAAAATAACAAAGGAAAAATATATGTCAAAAAATTCTTTTAAATGCACCATTTTGTGGAAAAAAAAACACTTAGCTTTAAAAAGCTTTATCGGAAAAGAAAACCCAAAATAAATTTTTTTGTTGAAGACAGCCCGATACCACTAATTCACTCAATTAACCTCTAATTTATTCTAATTACCATCACTCTCACTAAACTACTTAATAAATAAATTAATATATAAATTAAAAACAAAAAACAAAAACCACCACTCCAGCACCAGCAAGCCACCACTTGAAACACTTGATTTTAATTGGAACGACATCATTTGCTTCGAATTGAGGGTTTGATTCACTGAATTTGATATTGAATCTTACTCGACACCTTTTTTGGATGGTGTTAGAGGATAGAGAAGATGGGGAAGCTTTTACCTCCATGTCTAGAACTATGTAGCCTTTGTCGTGTTTATCGATACGCTTCATTGTTCCTGCGTA